AATCTGTCTCCTTGTGCCCTGTTTCAGCTTCCTATGCTGGCTGCGTGGTGGCCTTTGGCTTATGGCCCTGCCCTCCCCACGTCCTCAATATGTACTATCTATCTGCAGTCGTCTTGTTTCTGTCATTCTGTCTCCTCCTTTGCCCTTTCTACTCCAGGGGCCTGTAAGGCAGGTCTCCATCTTGCATCCGCTGGTATAAGGAACTCCTGTGATTAAATTGGCCCCACGGCTGGGTGATACAAGATAGCCTCCTCCCCCATCTTCAGAGCCTTCTGAAGTCAGCCAAGCTGCCAGGTTCCTTTTGCCATAATAAAGTAACACTTACAGATTCGGGGGATTAATGACATGAAACATCCTTTGGAGGGTCCACTAATTCAGCTAACCCCAAACGCATCCACCAGGCATCCTGGTTAGAACCTGAATTCAGACCGCCTGTTGCTTTCGCTCCTCCCCAAACCCCGCCATGGCTCGCCCACCTTCCACCATGCAAGCCCTTACGGTGGCGTCCACCAGGGTATGCACACATCTTCTTCACTTGTGACTCCCCCATTGCTCCATCTTCTCTCTCCTGACTCAACTTGGCCTCCAGTCACTGGCCTCCCTGGTTGAACTCAACACTCAGGCGCTAACGCACCTGCGTCAGGGGCCTTGGCACAATGCTGTTCCCTATAACCTGGAACCTTTTCATTTCATTTCTTTTCTTTTTCTTTTTTTCTTTTTGAGATGGAGTCTTGTAACTTGTGCCCAGGTGAGTGGCAGTGGTGTGATTTGGCCTCCGCTGGCAACCCCAGACTCCCGGGTTGCAAGTGATTCTCCTGCCTCAGCCTCCCGAGTCAGCTGGCGACTGACAGGCAAGGCACCCACCCATGGCCCCAGCCTAATTTTTGTATTTTGGTAAAGAGACCGGGTTTCACTATGTTCGGCGCGAGGCTGTGCTGCAAACACTCCTACCTTGTGATCCGCCCGCCTTGGGCCTCCCCAAGAGTGCCTGGGATTATAGGCATGAGCCACCTGCGGCCCCTGGCCTTCTTTTCTTTTCCTTCTTCTTTTCTTTTCCTTTTCTCTTCTTTTTCTTTCCTTTTTTTCTTTTCTTTTCTTTTGCTCCTTCGGCTTCTTTTTCCTTTTTCTCTCTCCTCTTCTCTCTCAAATTCTCTTCTCTTTCCTGTCTGTCCCCTTTCATTTCCCCTTTCCTTTGACTCGGCCCGCCTCGGCTCGCTCCTCTCCTCTCCTCTCTTTCCTTTTCCCTTTCCTTCTTCATTTTTTTGAGACGGAGCCTTGGCTCGCGTCCTCAAAAAAAAAGTGCTGCAGAACATCAGAGTGTCACCCAGCGCTGGAGTGCAGTGGCACAATCTCAGCTCCCACTGCAAGCCTCCCCGCCCCCAGGTTCAGGCCAATTCTCGCTGCTTCACTCCCCAACGTAGCCTTGGGAATTAGGCACAGTGGTGTGCCACCACACGCTGGCCTAACTTTTTGTATTTTACGTACAGATGGGATTCACCCAATGTTGGCCAGGCTGGTCTCGAACTCCTGACCTCAGGTGATCCACCTGCCTCAGCCTCCCAAAGTGCTGGGATTACAGGCGTGAGCCACTGCACGCACTCTGTTGCCTGGAACTTTTCATTCCTGCCTCTTCCTAAGACTGAACGTTTCTCTTCCTTTGGGTCTCGTCTTCTCAGAGAGGCCCTGTTGGACATCCCCCCTCCCTAGAATGGCCCTTCTCCTGCCTCACAGTTGCATTTCACACAATCAAAAGTGACCTTGGTTGTGTGTTTGTTTTCTTATCTATCATCTGCCTTCCGCACCAGACTGTCACCTCCTAAAGACCCAGGAGGGGCTGGGTCTGTCTGGTTCTCAGCTGTGTCTCCAGCACCAAGGACAGGGCCTAGTACATAGTAGGTGCTCAGAAAATACTTCCTTCATGAATCCATGTATGGTTTATTTCAAATGTCCCTCGGTGCTGCCGTGAATAAAATACAAATTCATTTTAAGACATTCGTACATTCCCAGTGACTTTGTGGCTTGATCTTTTTTTTCTGTCAATGACTAAGACTACCTTCATACATTGAGAGGAGGTGAAGCATCGTCTGTACTGAGCAAGTGTGGACTCAGAAGGCTTGGAATGGATGCAAGGGTGTCTTAACACAGATTGGCAGTGGGGTCTTATGAAAGAGCAGGGGCATGAAGTGGGCTTCTTGTGCAAGTGGCACCCTCGCTCTGTGCCTCAGTTTCCACATCTATAACATGGAGATTGTAACAGAACTTACTTTATAGAAGGTTCTCAGGTTTGGTGCTACTGACATTTGGGTCTGGATAATTCTCTGCTATGGGGGTTGTCTTGTGCACTGTAGGGCACTGAGCAGCATCCCTGGCCTCTGCCCATCAGACGCCAGTACCTTCTCCCCAGTTGTGACAACCCCAAATGTCCCCACATATAGCCTAATGTCTCCTGTGGAGGCGAAATCACCCCCAGCCAAGAACCGCTGCCTGGTCGGATGATCCGGGTGCTCGTGGTGCCACCCGGCACAGGCTGGTGCTCAAGTTGTGCAGGGAATCAGAGCTGCTCTGTGGTTAAGTGGCTGCCTGGTCCTGCCACTCCTTAGCAAGTGGCCTTGGACCGGTGACTCCAGCTCTCTGAGCCTCAGCATCTTCATCTGTAAAATGAGCTAATGATAGCACTTCAGCTCTTGGCACTGTCAGGAGGATTGAGTAGATTAATCCTGTGAAGTGCTCAGAAGCATGCCTGGCACACAGTGGGAATTCAGAGGCTGAGGCTGAGGCTGAGGCTGATGAAGGTTTCTGGGAATAGTGGGAGCTGGAGAAAGGGCTCTTTGCATCCTCACCTCTGCAAGTGCTACCTGAGACCTCTGGTGTGTGTGCCCATGCACTAATGGAGGACAGGCAGGCACAGCTGCCCCCACCCAGGCAGGCAGCTGGCTCAGTCCCTCAGCCTTGCCAGGCCATTTAATAATTAAGCGGCTGAGGGGTGACGAGGCTGGAAAGCCAGAAGTGACCAGGGTCTGGCCTTGCTTGGCTTTCATGACGCGATGGCCCTGGGATCATGGTCTTCTTGAACCCATAAACAGGGGGTTGGGCCCCAAGACAGGCAAGGCCAGGCCAAGGTCTGTGCTGGTGGCCTGAAGCCGAAGCCATGCAGGGACAGGAAGGGGGTTGTTCCAAGGCTACAGGGAAGGGAGTGCTATGGAGTGAGAGCTTCTGTCCGTGGGGGCAACCCCCATCCACTCACAATCTGTCCATTTCCCTGTTCCCAACCCTCTCTCAATTTTCACCTCCAATTTATTGAGCACTTACTACATGCAGGGCTCTGCCAAAGTACTTTACACAGATCTGGCTCCTGTCCTCCCTCTCACATCATGGGAAGGGGCTCTGTCCCCTCCCCAAATGAGTGAAACCCTGTTACTCAGACTCCCATTGCACCAGGTAAGGAGTGGAGGCTCCCAGAGGTGAGTCACCAGCTCTCAGAGGCAGAGCCAAGAACCCAGCCCAGGTCTGGGGTCTCCCAAGCACCTGCCCTTAACCACACAACCCCTGCTGGGCCTCCTCTCTCTGTCATTTCCCCCCAAGAACCTCCACTTTCCTCTCTCTGGCTCTTGCTGTCTCTCTGGCTTTCCCTGAACATCTTCCTGGTTCTGTTTTTCTCCTTCTCTGTGTCTCTTTTCTGTCTTTCTCTTTTTCACTTTCTCTGTCTCTCTCCCTCCCTCTGTTTCTTTCTCTCTCCATCTGTTTCTGTGTTTCTCTTTCCCACCCCCCCTCTCTCTCTCTCTCTCTCTTTGTCTCTCTCTCTCTCTCTCTCTCTTTGTCTCTCTCTCTCTCTCTCTCTCTCTTACTCTGCCTATTTCTCTCTCTCCCTTTCTCTCCTCCTCTGCCTGCCCGCCTCCCCTGGCCGCCCCGCCTTGCGGCTCTGTCTCTCTGCAGTCAGCCCTTGTCCCCACGCCAGCACATTATGTCCCTGGTCAGACCCTGACGTCAGGCGGGGCCTGGCGGGCGGCCATGGGACGCTGCCGGGCAGGCGGGAGGGAGTGCTCGGCTTCCCGGTCCCCACTGTAGTGGCCGCCTGCCCGCCGCCCGGCCTGGCCTGCCCAGGCTGGCAGCAAAGCTTTGCTTCTCCTGGCCTGGCCTCAGCTGGCTGAAGAGTGGACAGCCCTTCGTGGCTGCCTCTGAGCCTGGGGCTGCAGGTCACTCACCTTTTCCCTTCCCCCGCTTCGACCCCACAACCACAAAAGACTTGGTAGCAGAGGGTAGACAGTATAGCATGGGGCCAAGTCTTGGCAAGTCACCCAGCCTCTCTGAGTCTCCTTGTAAAACAAAGCCATTGAGGCACCTGCTTCTCAGGTCTGCAGGGGGTGTCAACCCACAGTGGCTAACAGCACAGCAGGAGCAAGGCCCCAGCAGGAATTCAGTGTCACTGCAGTGTCTAGGCCAGCAATCTTCAAGGAGGGGAAGCTGGCAGAGATGGGGGGATCTGGGTGTCACAGTGACAGGGGAGCATGGCTGATGAGCAGGCAGGGATGTGCCATGGGGGACTGCCAGGCAGGACAGCCCCACCCACAACACAAACAGTGCCCTGCTGAGAAACCGTCCCCAAGCCCGGCTGGTCTGAGGTCTCATCAGAGCTTCAATAAGTGGTTAAGAAAATGTCATATTTCTTGTTTGGTTTGTTTGTTTTTTCCCCCTGATTTTCAAAGCAAAGTAGTTTCCTTGAAGGACATTCGAAGGGTACTTGAGCTTCCTAGTTTAAAAACAGACTTTAGGATCTGACCGACGTGCGTCAAATCCAGCCGGGTGACCCTGGCCAGTGACTTTGCCCTCTAAGCCTCAGTTTCCTCATCTGTCAAATGAAAGGAAGGGATGAGAAGGTTGTGGGGATGAAGCAAAAGCATGTTTGTAAAGCACCCAGAATGGGATCTTGCCCGTGGTAAATGCTCTATATTCAGTAGCCTTTTTTTCCTCATCTTTTTTTATTCTTCTTATTTTAAATATAGGAGACACAGAAAAGTACAAAGAAGAAAACTAAAAAGGTGACCCAGAGAGAACCACTCTAAGATGTTCATGGGAATTCAGCTCAGCTTGTGTATTTATATTGAGATCCTATATTGAGATCCCACTGTTGTCTGCTTTTTCATTTTTCATGAAAATAAAACTTGACTCAAAGTTTCATTTTAAAATACCTTTGCTTATTACTATTATTTGAATACTTAGACATTCAAAATGTTCAAAAGGTGTCCAGGGAGAAGTGAGGCTGCCTCCCACTCCAGCCTCTGTTGATCAGTTTCTTGTGTGCACTTCCTTCCCTGGGTCTAAGTCCCCTGCAGACCTGTGAGTTCCAGCTCTCCTGCTCCCATTCATTTTGAGTTTTTTTGTGTGTTCACTCGATTACAAATCATGACATTATTTTAAAAATCAGAACCTACAGACAATCAAAAGAAAGAGGAGCATAAGAAAAGTGGAATCAAGCCAGGTGTGGTGACACATGCCTATAATCCGAGCACTTTGAGAGGCTGAAACAGGAGGATTACTTGAGCTCAGGAGTTCAAGATCAGCCTGGGCAACACAGCGAGACCTTCATCTCTACAAAATTTAAAAAAAAAAAAAAAAGGAAATTAGCCAGGTGTGGTGGTGCACGCCTGTGGCCCAGCTACTCGGGAGGCCAAGGTGGGAGATGACTTGAGCCCAAGGAGGTCAAGGCTGCAGTGAGCCATGATCACACCACTGCACTCCAACCTGGATGACAGAGTGAGACCCCATCCCAAAAAACAAACAAAGAAACAAAAGAAAAAAGAAAAGTGGAATCACCTGAAACCTTACTATCCCTTTGACATTTTGGAGCACATCCTCACAGGCTTTTTCTGTCACTTGATGTATGTGCACATTCTGGTAGCACCAGGTATCTTTCCTTAGTGCTGATCAAAGGTTTGGATGATATGTTTGTGTACCGATCTGATCGTTATCTGCCTTCCCCACTGTGGGGTCAGTTCCAGGAGGCAGGCACGACTGTGTCTGGGTCTTCCACACCACAGTAGGTCCATAGTGAATATTTTCTGAATGAATGACTAGTGAATTTTCAAGAGGGATCGTACAGTATACAACACTATCCTGTGACCTATTTTTTCACTTAACGTATTGGGGACATCTTTCCACATCTCTGTGTGGCGAATCTCCATTTTTCATGTCTGCACAGAATCACCACAATAAACATCTTTTTGATGTTAGCCAGAAGCTTCTGCTGCCCCCAACTGGGAAGCTCTTTTTCTAATGGAGATCTGTTAACAAATTCCATATGATCCACCCACGCCCCAGCCCTTTGGCCAGTTACTTTCAGGCTAACACTTCACTGGTTACATGGGCCCATTGTTTTCTGGGACAAGTCAAGATTTACTGTCTGTCCCTGACATCATGTTTTCCCAGAGAAGCTTAAGAGTGAAGAACTCATCCCTCCCTACCTCCTGTTTCCGCCCGTTAAGGGTTCTGCAGATTTGCTGAAGTTGGGAAACTTGGTGTAACCCTTGCCTCCCTGACTACCTCACCACAAAGGGCACATGCCAAGCTCATTCATTCCTGCCTCAGGGCCTTTGCGCTGGCTGTTCTCTCCGCCTGGAATACACTTCCCTCTGATACTTGCTCAGCTCACTCCCTTACTACCTCAGATCTCTGCTTGACCACCACCTTCTCAGAGAGGGCTTCCTCTGTTATTTTTCTAAATTAGCATCTCCAAATCACTTATCCAGTTTTACATTTCCTTGTAAAACATTTTACTTGGTATTGTATTAGACCAGATTATATGATGTTATGTTGTGTTGTGCTGGGTTATATTAATATTTTGGGGTTTTAAAATGGATTGCCCATCTCCTTCATTCTGAGGACAGGGACTTGGGACTCTCTTTGCTTTCCTGCAGTATCCCCAGCACCTAAAATAGGGCCTGGAACATGGGTAGGTGCTCAGGAAATACTAGTCGAGTCAATCCATGTTAACGCCAGACTACAAGGTTTCTTCCAAGGCTGAGAGTCCAATGCCATCATTCATTCATTCGAGAGTTATCTGTTGAGCACCTACTGTGTGCCAGGGCTTGTTCGGATGCTGGTGTTGTTCAGTACAACAGTGGACAAGGCAAACACATCCTTCACAAATGTCTCCTTGAAGGATGTGGTCAGGGGTCCAGGAGACACACATCCATCAGATAGTGACATCCACGTTGACTTGCTGGCCTCAAGTTGGTGAAGCAAGGACAGATCTCAAGGTCCCCACTCTAACTTAGCCTCTGCAGAGCTGGGTGAACCCCAAGGGTGACACGAATGGGAATGACACTTCTGTCATTTACTTCTTCCTGCTGTTCTCTTGCCCTTAGTGGAGGAGAAATGGAGAAGATTATGCTAGAAACCTTTTTGGATTCTTCCCACAAGCCCAGCCATCTTTGCCAGAGGAGCTGACCTTTGCCCCACTTTCTGGCCCACACCCTGCGGTCACCCTTCAGGGAATTTCCTACCTTAGTAGATCACATCTCTCAAAGGAAGTGCCAGGAAACTTGCTTTCCTAGCCTCCCTGAGTCTCCCGGGTGCGGAGCGGGTGTGGGAGCGTGACGTGGGCTCCCCTGAGAGAGGCTTCCAATTAAAAGAGAACAATAGGACAGAAGAGACGGGAAAGAGAGCCTGGGCCTGGAGGATGCAGTGGAGGGCATCCTTGGGTAGAAGTGGGGTTCACTGAGGCAGCTCTCCATCAAATTCCAGCCTCATTCCCAGCTGTGTTGCCCCTACTCCTGACTCGGTAACCCCCCTGAGGGTCCTATGAACCACCTAATAACCTTTGATAAACTCCTTTTCTGTGTAAACTAGCCAGAGGGGTGCATTCTGTCCCTTGCAACTAAGAAACCCAGATTGACAGGTCACTCTAGGTCTCGTAAGCTTTGCGGTTAATGACTGCTCATCCGAATCTCGTATTTAAGAACTATCCAAAAATGACTATCTCGGACTCATTTTCAGCTGCTGGAGGGAATGATGCTGAATGTTGTCATCTTTACCTCGGTCCCAAAATGGGCCCCCACGTCCCCTGCTGGAGGAAGAGGGCATTATATCAGCTGAACCATTTTGGAAGGCACTTGGGTGACGGGCACTGACAGCTTTAAGAATGTTCATGTTCTTTGACCCCCAAACCCTTCTTCTGGGATTCTGTACTAAGGAAATAATCACAAATAATGACAGTGGACGAAGACATTCACAACAGAATTGACAAGAGTAAGGCCGGGCACGGTGGCTCACGCCTGTAATCCCAGCACTTTGGGAGGCCAAGGTGGGCAGATCACTTGAGGCCAGGAGTTCAAGACCAACTTGGCCAACGTGGTGAAACCCTGTCTCCACTAAAAATACAAAAAATAGCCAGGCATGGTGGCAGGAGCCTGTAATCCCAGCTACTCCGGAGGCTGAGGCAGGAGAATCACTTGAACCCAGCAGGCAGAGATTGCAGTGAGCCGAGATCACACTGCTGTACTCCAGCCTGGGCAACAGAATGAGACTCCATCTCAAAAAAAAAAAGAAAAGAAAAGAAAAAAGAAAGAATTGACAAGAGTAGTGAGGAATCAGAATCTACTCAAATGTCCAATAAGCTGGGAATGTTTAAATTAATCAGGAAATTATTCCTAAAAGGATGTTTGAGACACCTTCTGCACAAAATATTAGTGTAATACTTAGGATTAGGTTCACCTATGAGTGTCAGAAAAGCCAAAATAACAGGGGCTCAAGCGAAATTTTTTTATTTTTTTTTTTATATGGAGTCTTGCTCTGTCGCCCAGGCTGGAGTGCAGTGGCACGATCTTGGCTCACCGCAACCTACGCCTCCAGGGGTTCAAGTGATTCTCCTGCCTCAGCCTCCCTAGTAGCTGGGATTACAGGTGCCCACCACCACGCCCGGCTAATTTCTGCATTTTTAATAGAGATGGGGTTTCAGCATGTTGGCCAGGCTGGTCTTGAACTCCTGACCTCATGATCCATCTGCTTCGGTCTCCCAAAGTGCTGGGATTACAGGCGTGAGCCACCACGCCCAGCCAGAAGTTTGTTTCTTACATAAAAGATCCGTGGAGGTGACAGTCTAGGACTAGTAGGGTGGCTGCACAAATTTACTGGGGGCTTAGGGTCCTTTTCTCTTGTTGCTCTGCCTTGTCCCAAGATAGCCACTCAGGTTCCGGCCATCACATCTGCACTCCAGCCAGCAAGGAGGATGGGAAAAAGTAGAAGCACCCCTTCCTAAGGACATTACTTGGACATTACTTATATCCCATTGGCCACAGGGACACCTAGCTGCAAGAGAAGCTGGGAAGTGTAGATTTTCTTCTGGGTGGTCACATGCCCAGCAAAAGCTTGCAATTTCCATTGTTTATTTATTTATTTAGAGTTGGAGTTTTGCTCTTGTTGCCCAGGCAGGAGTGAAATGGTGCCATCTTGGCTCACCGCAACCTCCAGTTCCTGGGTTTAAGTGATTCTCCTGCCTCAGCCTCTCGAGTACCTGGGATTACAGGCATGCACCACCACACCAAGCTTTCTTTTGTATTTTTTGTAAAGATGGGGTTTTTCCATGTTGATCAGGCTGGTCTCGAACTCCTGGCCTCAGGTGAACCACCCACCTTTGCCTCCCAAAGTGTTGGGATTACAGGTGTGAGCCACCACGCTCAGCCTGCAATTTTCATTATTAAGGATTAGGGAAGATCAGAGAATGAGAGAGAAACAATAGACAAAATTAAAGAGAATGTCAAAGAAAATTTTGTAATAACACGAGAAGTATGATTTTGAAGACTTTGAGACTTAACAGGATTTGAAATTATACGTACAGTGTGATCACAACCTTTATAATAAAATTTCAAAATGGAGAAAGGTACTCAGAGGAGCAAACTGCGAGAAAATTGCCCTCCGTGGGTGATCCCATTAAAAAAAAATTCATATTCTTCTATTTTATGAATTTTCAATATTTGAACAAAGTTAACTTCCCGAAAAAGCATCCCTGTGCAGATTACATAATCCACTTGAGCTACAATTTGTGTTGTGCAAGTTCTGTCCTCAAACGTGCCAAGGCAGCCAGATGGGGAAAGAAGAAATGAAATTATTTCTAGTCATAGAACACATGATT